CCAACAAAAAACTCTCTCCCTTGTGTTCAGGAGGGGGGGGGGGGGGGTATATATATAATTCTTAGTGGCATCATAAAATAGGAATAAATAAAAATGAGGGATAAATAATTACGGGTTGGCGATTCTATGGGAAAACACACGGATTACAATGTGAGAGAGTCATAGAGAAAAATCCGGCGGTACATAGCTTCAATCCTTGTGCCTTAAGTTCTTTGCTATTTGAGGGTCATAAATAAATAGATCTAACGGTGCAAAGCCTTGATCTATGTGCCTTCGTTCTTTGCTTTGATTGGAGCAGAAATTCAACATGAATCTTATATTTTTTTTATGAAACTGTCTATTGAAATTTGGTTAATGGGCTGGAATCATGATAGTTGTTTGCAAAATGAATACAAATTGAAAAAAAAAAAAAATCTGACTTGTCCTCACAAGGCAAATCAAATTTTTATGTTTTGCTATTATTTCTTCTTCTTCATTGAGCATTGTCGTCTTTAATTATTTTATTCACCTCAAAATTTTTCCTTGTTTTGCAATGCATTTTTTCATTTCATTTTCTTTTTTGGGGATGTACATGCATAGCATTCAAAACTATCTAAATTACATATCTCACACTTAAACTTCACTATTTATGCTATTTAGTATTCATTAACAGTCTTAACTGATCTCGCTGCATGCTCGCCTGTGAGCTCGCCTCCAATGCTTTCACCTAGCGACAAAATTCCATGGTTAAAAAAAAAATGTTTTCATTCCATCCCCAATTTGCTGCTGATCTTGCCGTGGAAGCGTTTGAATTGAAAGGAACTTATTTAGGTCAAATAAATTATTTTATTGCTCTCTTTAGGAGTTTTTTTGCATTGTTTTCAATGCAGGCATGGTGTTTGTTTCTTGTCTTTTTTCTTTTTCTTCCCCGGTTCTTTGGCTTCGCTTAGCCATACTTGCAACACTGGTGATTTGAGCGTGCTTCTGGGTTTCTCGGGTTGTCTAGATGCATCTATGTAAGGATGGGGAATTCTCTTCTGACTGCTGCAGATGGTCTGAATTGCACAGTGATCATCTGATTTTAGCTGGAAGACGAGTGATTGGATTGGATCCCCCTGAAAGGGGTCTTCGCTGTTCACTCTCAGATAGCCTCACTGCCTCACGTGCAGCAGAAGGTAATTCTTCAATGGCAAACAAAATCGTTTTTGCTCTCGATGCCATCAAACTTGCTGCCAGGCAACAAGGGCATTGTTGGCAGCGAGCTCGCCGAAGCTCCCAGCCAGTTGTATTATGCGAACTTGCAGGCGAAGATGGATAACGGGGTTTGGAGAGTTTAGAAAGGGTATTATTTTTGTTTTAATTTGATTATTTTGGTTTTCATGGCTATAAATAGTTGATATTTGGTGTGGGATATGTAATTTAATTAGTGTTGAGTGCTATGTATGTAAATGTCCCTTCATTTTTTATATTCTCCTGTTTTTTTGCCTCCTCCTAATCGCCTCCCTACATTCTCTCTCTCTCTCTCTCTCTTTAATGCCTATAGATGCATATGCATGCAGATGCTCGAGTCGGAAACCAATGTAATTTAGGGTAACCACACTTCAAGATGCACAAGGGAGCATCACTATATGACGATTCTCTTACCAGAACAGGTGAAATATTGACCCGGGGTTTCCTTCTCGACTCTATAAGCACAGCACTGACTTTTGTATTTGGCCACGAAAATCAACAGAATTCGAAATCATCTTGTTGGTCATATTTTGGTGAAATTTGGCAGAAGTCTAGAAAATCTGAGTATAAGTTGAATAGCTACAAGAGAGGTTTGTCTGCTGTGGAGGACAATAACACATCTATCGACATTGAAGAAATATCTCAATCCTGTTTTGATTCCACCATTAAAAAAATGCACACTGCATCATCTCCCATCAAGAATGGTTTTGTCTACAAAAGAAGGAAAATGCAAAGGACTACTGTTGCACTTCTGTCAGGTGAAAATGCAGGTGAGGTTACTGAAGAAAATGCTCTATCTGAATTTACCCTCAGTTCCTCAGATTATCACTTGGCTCTGCACGAGGATAGTTCTGATGATGTTCAAGCAGCTGTATATCTTTCTAGTGACTGTCAAGATAATGGAAGGCCATCATTTTCAGGAAGAAATCATCTTGTACACCCTACTGTTAATTCACAACTTACTGATCATAAGAATCTAGAATCAATTAAAACTTGCACAAACAATCATCATGGTTCTGTTATGGACGTGTCACATTCTGTAGACGATAAACTTTGCTGTTCTTCAACAGGAAACTGCAATGCCATTAATGATATTCCGTGTGATTCGATTTTGACAGTGGGGGAAAACCATGTTGGGGACTGTTCTACTTCTGGTGGTATATTCTTAGAATCTCTTGAGAAGTTTGAATCACCGGAGGAAATGTGCATATATGTTCTTAAAAGGCATGGATTGCTTGGAGACAGCAATAGGAACGGTGCCTGTGTATCAGCAGAAAACCTGGGTTCTATTGGACCTTTGTTTTCTCCATGCAAAATCTGTGGTATTTCTGAAAGTGCTCTAAAAATGCTAATTTGCGATGATTGCGAAGAAGCATTTCATTTGTCATGCTGCAGACCAAAAATAAAAAGGCTACCTAGGGATGAATGGTACTGTCAATCTTGCTTCATAAAGAAACGGAAACACCTACTAAGGAAGAATATGGGAACATCATCAGGTAATGTGGGTGATATTTCTGAGAGTGGTGGTCCTATAGCATCCATGTTGAGAGACTTACGCCCACATAGATCTCGAGTACGCATTGGTGAGGATTTTCAAGCTGAAGTTCCTGATAGTCCTGACCCGTTCTATAAGTATGTCATTTTGTTCCTCTTCATTCTTCCGTAACTTTTTTTACTAATCACTGAAGAATCCATGCTACATTTAAGCTGTTAGCAAGAAGAAAATAGGAATTGATTGGGAATCATGGTGTGTGTTAGTGACTTAAAATTTTTAATTTTCAAATTAAGCTCTTTTCTCATTCTAAATGCATGAAAAATCCATAGAACTTCAGGTTGTTAACAAGGAAGAAAAACATGAATTGCATGGTAATCATAGGAAGTTATTGGTGTCATAAAAATTTAAATTAAGGTTTAAATGAATTGAATTCTATATTTCAAGGTCATCGACATCTTTTTCTCAGTTTTGAATATGATGAAATCTATCCAGCAAGAGATAATATACCTTTAGCTAAAAGATTCTATGACATTGTAAAGTACCTCTTTTTTTATTTTTGTAATTTTAGGTAGATAGCTAGGTGATAGTAGTTTTCATTATCGAGCAAGTCAATCCCTATTTAGATGTTAGTATCTAATTAAGAAAACAAATCTTTTGCAATATAATGGTAAGTCTGCAAATTTTTCTCTTTCTCCACATCATTCACGAGTAGGACCTGAAATTGGGATGCCTTTAAGATTCATGATAATATTTTATTGTTATATGAAATGAATATGAACATTGGTTATATCTTAGGGTTTGTTTGTGGCAGATGCAGCTTATCCAACTTATCTAGATAAGCTGCTTATCCTGATAACTTGCTGATCAACAGCTGATCCGAATAAGCTGGTTGGCTGTTTGGTTTATGCATTTGGAAAACAGCTGATTTGCACATGTTTCTGGATAAATGACCAATATGCCCCTGATCTGAATAACTTATTTAGCTGTTTGGTTTGTGCGTTTGGAAAACAATTGATTTGCAGTTGTTTCTGGATAAATAATTATTCTGCTACCGTGCAGTTGTGCTGTTTGCAAAAAAATTGTTTCGACTATATATTTGATAGTTTAGAACAAAATAAAAAAAACATTTCATAACAATACAAAAAAGAGCGCACACCACACTTAATAGTGAGTAACAAGAATAAAAAAAAAGAAAATACATATTAAAATTATAATTAAAAGTATTATAACATTCTATCTAAAAAGCAGAAGCATGTCACGAGCAACGTTGTCCTGTAGGGATGTCGGATCCCGATCATTATCGACAATGGAATCGGGTGGACTGTCTGCTCCCCTGATGGACTCACACTTGTCTAGACCGTCTGCCCACTATGGACACTTGTAGAATTGACGTCCGTAGCTATGTGACCTGCGCGACGTGGAGTAACAAAGATGACAGTCCGCAGCGACATAACACTCGCCCAGAGTTTCCCGAAAACCTTGAGCTCTTCTTCCTACAATAATTCAAGGGAGAACACGTCAGTCATAAAATTAGATTAAATAAAAAAAATTGTGGAAATTGAAAATAAGAAATGGTATTGAATGAAGAAACAAAAAATTGATTAAAAAAATCAGGTGTGAGGGCTCAAAGAACTCATTACTCCAACCAACCAATCTGTCACTACATGAAGACAATAGATCTCTTAAAAAATAAGGTTTTTGGTTGCATTTTACCCACATAAAACCAACCTCCCGAGTGTCACATATGCATATCACCAAAAAAGGTCATCTTGAGGATCCTCAAAAACCATTTCGTCGAAAATAAAAGAGGAATTTTGTTGTCTTCATTCGAATTTCACAAGTGACACCAACCAACATTGACTAACAGTGACTGATAGGCCATCTGAAAAACCCAGAAAGGTCAAATGACTCATCATCGACCTCACAAGCCCATAAAAAAAATAAAATAAAACTTACATGGTGAAGAAAGAAGCCAAACTCATGAAAATTACAAAACCAAAAAAAATGCAGGCGCGAGGGCTCAGAGAACTCATCACTCCAACTAACGAATCTGTCACTACAATACGACAGTTGATCTTGTAAAGAAATGAGTTTTTGGTTGGCTTTAACCCACATATGACCAGCTTCCCATATGTCATATGTGCATATCACAAAAAATGTCATCCAGAGTAGCTTAAAAACTCGTTGGTCTGAAAAAAAAACATATGTATTTGATTGACCTCATTGTGCATATAAACAAAAAAACCATCCAGAAACGCCTCATAAATTGATGCACCGAAAATAAGAAAGCTACTTGGTTGCCTTCATTGGGATTTCACATGTAACACTAACCAACAATGAACAATAATTTATCCAGAAGAACCCATAAGGTCCAGAGTTTTATCATGTATCTCACAAGCCCGCAAAAAAAAAAAAAATCATATAAAACTCAAACATAAAATAAAGAAAAAAAATCACATTAAAGTTTAAAATCCAAAAATATCTGTGATGCAATTTAAATACAATAAACATAAAAGTTTTTAAATTAACAAGACATGTCCACTCAAGATTCAAAAATGTCATTCGCTATCTGCTCTCTCAATATTGTAATCTCCGATGCACTTTCAGAGAATTTCAGATTTGTAAAGGAAAGTAGAAAGTAAGAAAAACAATGTCAATATACTGAAATACAGTATCAATGCTGCCATTTGCAAAATAAAGATGGGTTCAATCTGCAACCACAGATAGCATCTTTGATACACTCCCTCAATGCAACCATCTCGACTGCGCCTTCGCCATTCTGAGTTTGAAATTCATACTACTCTATCACAGCCTCAGGTATAGAATGCCGAACCTAGAATTTGAAAGCTTCAAGAGGGACATGCTTCTAATCATTGTCAACCAAACTGAAGTCCCTATATGACCGAGAGGGATGCCATCAAATGAAGTTGTGGAGTATCATAATGGTCACCACAATGTGTAGTTGTTTGAAAAATGTGTACGACGACATATCACGTAGGATGATTCATTTCTTTTTCCAAACCCCAAATGTTATTTCAATCGCCCCGCATAAGGAAGATGATGTTTGTTAAACATTTCTTTTCTACCTTGGGTCGCGCCACTTGATCTCTCGAAATTAGGAATATGATATTTGGTATCTGGATATGACTTTAGGTACCCCCTCTGCAAGAAATATCAAGCATTTACAAAATAATATTTACCTGTTATGAAAGACACAATTAGTGATTTGATAGATATAACTAATAGGTTTAAAAACCTACAAACCTGAAGGTGGGTGAGGGAAGCACTGTCTACTATTCTTTGTTGCATAGGCAAAAAGACGACTGTCATATGCATTCCCTTCTCATTTGACCAACACAAATGTGAAGCACTTATTGAAGTCATAGGCGACAATCACATTTTGGGTAGTTGAACTATACTGACCAATGTACGTCACCTTTTCATGGCCAGGTAGTCAAACATCCACGTGTGCACCGTCAATTGCCCCAATACAGTTCTGTTTAGATTTGTTAGAGACGTAAATCCCGACACACTAATTACATTCTGCAGTAAACATAATACGCTAATGAAACTTACTTTGAAAAATGTCATGTAACGCGCGTCATTAGCAATTTTTTCTAGAGTTGTATCGAATGATGGATCCTCTGACTTAATTTATGTGGGACGCTAAGCTAACTAGTACTTTCAGACCTTCTGAGAAGTATCGGCTTATTGTCTTTGAGAAATACTGGAATCGCTTCATAGCTCCTCTAATTGATTCGTTATGAGATAGAATGTATAGTGTTGTTACCAACACCTCCCTTATAGTTGTTTTGGAGGAACCTTGGAGTTCGTAGTTGCTACCTAGCTCGTGAAGGAGATCCAAAAAAATGGGTACACTCATGCGAAATATATTGCAGAACCTTATTGGTTGCGCAACGAGCATCTCACCCACTCATTTATCTTCAACAAGGGACGATGTCATGCGTGGTGTTCGAGCAGTGATGGAGCGCTAGTATTCTAACAGCAATATAAAATCTCCCAGCCACAATCATTATTTTCAGAGTTCTCGCTGTCGTTCCATTCTGATGAAATGATTTGTTAGGGTAACATGCTATGAATAAACTGTTTTTTAAAAAGAAATGTATAAATCTAATAGCTCTTAATTGAAATAACTAATACATCCATTGTTTTAATCACGACATATTCCACAAATCATTGTCCTAGAAAATAAAGAAAAAACAAACAAATTCAATAAAAATAAAAAATAATAAAGCCAACAAATAACACACTCATTTTTCAATCGAGACGTAAATATTTGACACGTAGCTCGGGCCGCAGTCTCATGAATATTTGCCTATGGGTCGGGTCCTCGAGTAGTTTAACACATTTAAATAAAAGGCCGGATCAAGCACAAATTCTGGAACTGCATCTAAAGCAACAAAAAATTCTTCGATGGTGGTGTCAGGTGTAGCAACAAGTGGCGAAGCTGCAAATACTTCTATCAATTTATCTATTGAGCTTTTCACGAAAATATCTTTTTTATCCTTCTTTTCTCCAGCCTGGGCCTCTTTGATTGACTCGTCGACTCGAGCTCCCTCAGGTTTATGCTAGACCCTTCACCATAACCCGTAACCTGCTCGGGTGGCAAGTCATCTGGGATGCCTGCAAACTTCTGCTCACTTGTATTGAACGCATGCTGACCCGTCGCGACAATCCCCTTAAACATTACATTAAATTTATCTTCCAAGCCCGAGTCAATTTTGCACACCTTAACTGTTTTTGCAGTTGGTATCGTCTGCAACGTTGTGGGGAGGCATATTAGTTGAAAAAAAATGATAATAAACCAAAATAGAGTATAATTATTACTTTTAACTTCTCAGTCCACCATTCATCTGGAGCATCAATGGTTCGCTTAATGGGATCACAACCTAGCCTAGTGGATCCCCGTTTTAGCTCCTTCCATAACTTCCGCTCATTTTTCAATTGATCTCACTTGTTTTTGAATTTGAGTCTGTCATACTCCCTATCAATTCTTTGAAACACTTCAAAATATTTTGCCAACTTTGTTATAGTATGTGATAGACCTATTTTTTATCTCAATTTCTTTAATACAAAAATTTTAAAAAATGTTTGTTATTTCCTTATCTCACATTGT